GTTAGATTTTAGGTTTTTAAGTATAAAATTAAATTAAAACATAAGTTTAAATAAAACAAAAATAGTAAAATTTTCAAGAATACATTATAACTTTTGTAGTATAAATTACAAGTTAACAAAGAAACTTATTATTTTAATTTTTAATTTTTATAATTAGACATTTTTTATTTATTGCTGGTACTATTGGATTTTGTTTAATTCTTCGAAATTGCTACATAGTTTTGGTTAATTGTCAATTACTAAATATTTTCTTAAAAATCAGCAAGAATATACTGAACTTACATTTTATAAGCTTTAGAATATAAAAATAGCTTGAAGTCATTATTAGTGTATACGAGTATTTGTTCATGATTATTATATGTTGATCATAATTATAAATCATATGTTCTTGGTAGTGAATACATTTTGCTGGAATGATAAGTTTATTGATGCATACTTTGTTTCAAAAATGTTTTCCTTTACATTTTAAATGTAAATTTTAAATCAATTATTTATTTTAAATGAATGGTTGAATTTTAGTTTTTTTTTTTTTCATATATTTTTCATAATATATTTATTATATCCATTTACAAACCATTGACCACATGGTCATATTACAACTAAAGTAGTATTTAATTTCGCATTTGTATTGCATTTGATTCAGAAACTTTTTTTTATGAGACACAGGCATTTAGTTTTCTAATCGATTCGTTAAAATTTGTAAATACTATTTTATAAGTATAACGTTAAATTAATTACCCTCTTTGTATTTAAATATTTGTTGAACATTTATTGTATTTAAATATACGCAAAAAAAAAAATCTTTGGATAATCACATATTTAAAAATAACTATTATTCAAAGTGGTTATTTTTTCATTTTTTATTTTCAAACTCAGAAACTTTTTTACTACGAAACTATTAACCAGTAGTGCAGTAACTGCCCGTACAGAATTTCCTTCGCTCATCGTCGATTACGAAGCTTTTTCAATTCTACTACACCTATTTCTTGTGCTTTTAGAGTCATTTTAATACCAAGCAGTCATACATTGGGCTGTTGTCGATAACCCGCTTAGGCTTACTACTGATGTTCAATAGATCTCGTCGTTTTGTACAAAGTCTGGTACTTTCACAGCGCTTTCGGTACACGATCAAAGCGTCAAATATATAGATACGTTTGATAGATTCAAAATGTATATCTTATTTCGCTACGTCTTACGTTTTGAACGATTTGCAAACCGATTAAACCCTTTACGTCCTACCGACGCGACGCCTTGCGTTGCATCACGCGTGACACGTATTACATTACCGTTAACGAGACATTAAGAAAACAATGTTAAGTAGAAGCACGATATCGGAATAAAATATTGTTGTCAAAAATCAAAAATAAATACGAGAACAAATATTTAACTAAATCTAGACGGTTTCACTGTTTATCATAATTCCGGGAACGGTCAACGTGTGTTGTTCGTAATTCGTATGAGTACCACATACGAATGTTTCGTCAAGTTTTACCGAGACACGTTTACTTATTTGCATTGATAACCACGTATGGTATCCGGTTACAGCGGAGCGTATTGTTTGCCACGGTTTTTAGTATGGTTAGATTCATTGTAAAATGTGCAAAAGTTGTGCCGCGTCGAAAAACAAATCCAATTTCGAAAGTCGTTATCGTTCGATATCTGCCAATCGTCAACCTGTCATTAGATTTGCCGTTTTTAATACTCGTTGAAGGAAATTTGGGGAAAGTAATTACAAACTGTATGTGTGTGTGTGTGTGTGTGTGTGTGTGTGTGTGTGTGTGTGTATTCGAGTGTTTGTGTGTGTGCTGTGTTTACAGACGATTTTCGATACGGACTGGGTGCGAACAAAACGTCTGGTAACATTTAGCACAGTGAAGATAGAGAAAGTTTATGTGCATTTTAAATACGTTTAATTGAAACGAGAGAACATAGAACACAAATGCCACCGAATGAAAATGAAGCCAAGACCATATCTTATAGTTAGAAAACTGCGTAAGATAAATGAGCATTCATTGAGGAATTTTAATGTTTGGCATACGATACTTGATTATTTCCGGCAATTTATACATTTTTTTCTCTTAATTTATAATATTTATTTACAACATATTACTCTCAATTTGTACTGATCAGAGGATTATGAAGTTCGCGCATTAATCACTGTAAATAATACTAAAATCGTTTCCATTGAATCATTTCACATCATTTATTGCTAATAACTGAAATGGTTACAGTGTTCATCTCAAATAATTAAGTTTATACTCGTTGAACAAATGGAATAAAAATTATTTTATTCCATGATACATTGATATTGTTTAATATTACCATTTCATACAATGATTTGATTGCTACAAAATGTAGATACCTACGAAAAAAAAATTGTTTATTTCAATAAAGTTAACGGACCCATATTGGGTAAAAACAAAGTGCACTACAATAGTTAGAAAAAAAAATTATATCGATTCATTTTTATGAAATGAATCCAGTCTTAAGTCGTATTATACAATGGATGGAGCCGTTGCCATTGACTTACGCATCAAAGAACCGAAGCTTACATCCTAGTAGGATTTACTCGCCCACCATGTCCGTGAACGCGTAAAGTAGTCTAATAAATCTGTTTTATCAGCTGATTCAGATTTCGGCGGTAGTTAAACTGTTATCACAATGTTGACGTTTCGTAAGAGTATTTGAAACGTTACAACTTATTAGTGAGTACGAGCATGCGCATGCCTATTGAATCTTTTGGGTTTTGGCTAATATGTTAGTTTCATAGACCATGCGAGTGACTTCATCCATAACATTATATTATCATCTAATTATCCGATAAACCATTACTCTTACCGTTTAAAATAGACTTTAGTTATGCTGCGATAATGTAACATTTTTAAGAGACCGTTTGCCGTAGATTTGTCGAACGAATAATTTACTAGTACTTTAGTATGCAAAAGTTTATTCCAAATAGTAAATCGAATATTCAAGTATCTATAATGGGGCATATGAGAAATACGAGTATAAATATGGAAAAATGTTTCCCTGCAATTCCAATGTTATTAAACTATAAAAAAGTAAAATTGAATAGTAACAAATAAATATAATAATAATATAGTAAACTCAGGAAAATGTTAATAATATTGACAATCGTTTACATTTCTTGAAACTAATTTTAAAATTCTGATAACCGATACTCACAAGTTCGTGATTCGTTTTTCTTTCTTATTTTTTATGCTAAGCAGGATTTCATATCGTAAGCTTATAAAACTGTATTATAATAATAATAATAAAAAAAGTTTTCTTTTATTTGTAGTAGCTATGTATTTGAACTATATGACTATATAAAAGGGATAATCGGATAAAATAATATATTTATACGTTATATATGTATTATATTTTTTTGTTGTTGTACCTTCTTGCTGTAATATACTTAAGTATACCGATTGCAAAATGTTTCTTTCGTCTTGCCCAAGCAATTACTGCCAGAATCCGTAGAATTTAAAATTATTGTATTGCAAATTACTGAACAGCTTTAAGCAACATAAAATAAGCAAATTTATTTTTATTTTTTATTTATTTATTTTTTTTTTTTTGAAACGAACATGCGCCGGGTACCAATATATTGTCAGTAGTGCGCACAGTGGATTATTTTTCCTTGTTCGGAATGAAAAATCCAATATAATATTTCAACATTAACTTAACCGTAAGTACTCGTGAACTGGTATAAAATATTACATTTGATGAAAAAAATAAATAAATAAAAAACCGTAGTAAGTTACGGCGAGCGACTTATCCATAACATCCTAGTCGTACTCCATCAGTAACGTAACTTGGAGTAAATTGTATATGAGACGGAGGAAATTCACAAACGAGAGTGCAGTCTCTTTGAAAACATTTTTTAAATAGAATTATAGAAAAATAGTAATAAACTATTTTAAAACGGTTTTTACAAATTAGGAAAAATAGTGCCCTGATCAAAAAACTGTGTAGTTGTAATTATAATCATCCCGACGAATTCACAAAATTTATTGAAATAATACTTTCACTCAATTGAATTGTTATCTTATCAACTATTTTTTGTTACTTGGTTGGTATACATGGTCCATTTTCCATAGTGATTAACAGAAACAAAAATATATAATTGTTGGTAATTATGTTAAAACTATAGATACTGAGTTTGGTATTTTAAGAAAGGGGTGTGTGTATAAAATCGAAGAGGTTTAAAACCATTTTATTAATATACGACATGAAGAAGTACGTGTGTCATTATCGTTTTCGATGCGTTTTGAGCTTAAATCATAATCCGGAGATCTAAATACACGTATTGTCGTTAGGACGAGGATAATTTTGACGAAAGAATCGTTTACTTAACCGATATTATGATTCGGTTATAAATTACTATTAATATTGTTTTATAATCTCGATGAAAGTTATTAAACTCGTTTCTTATTTCAAATTAGTCGTCAAATGATCCCTGTATAACGTCATTCTGATTTTAGTCGAAACTTAACTTAATGGCACTCTATAAATTATTTTATGGAATCACGAAATGTTCATTGAAAAAAAAAAAAAACATTTATATTGATTAAATACATTTCTATCTATTGAATATATTTTTAGAAAAATTGTTTAAATTTATGTTCGATTGTATATGAGCAGTACGTTGTTTTTGGCGATCGTATTTTATGCTGAATGTTTTAGTTTTAATACGGATTAAACGGATACTCGCAAAGAAACGACTGTAAAAAGGTCATTTTCATAAACGATATCTATTTAACATTGTTTTGTTTCATTGTGAAAAGCTGGTATGAAACCCTTTTTGGAAATGTGTTTAAATTAATGTATTCGCAATATTAAACCAAACCAAAAGCTAACAAAACGTAATATAGCCGTATTTACATAATATAGTACAAATCAAATAATGTTATTGATAAATATATAATTTTGTTATAATAGCTGAAAATGTACTTTGAAACAATCGACTTCATGTTGTATGCGCTGTATTGTTTCAGGTGAGAACCCGGCAGCTATGCAACACGGACACGGACGAAGTTTGAACATGCTGAGCTGTCCATCCATATGGATACTCATACCGTCCTTGGTCATGTTCATAAATTTTAACACAAATTGAGAGCGTTTAAAATCACGAAATTGTGTTAAGTGAACGGCGCTAATATATATACACCCACACAAATACACTCGTACGCACTCACACACACACACACACACACACACACACACACACACACACACACACACACACACACACACACACACACACACCCACACACACACACACACACACACACACACACACACACACACACACAC